TAAAAACATGCAATTTGCACAAGGTTGAAATCACATGGGAATCCATTGATTTTTTTGCAATTGCTAGTTTATAAACTAGACTAGAAAACCCCTTGGTTCACTGGGAAGTGCGCTATTATATTTTTTTGTTTTGTAAGTTTAATTCGCGATTTTGTAAAAAAATCTACACAACCGATAGAGATACAAGCCGATTTAAAAATGTTGCTCGCACTTAACACAACGTACTTTCAACAAAACCGATAAAAATTGACCGTTTTTTAACAATCTTTGGCACGTGCACGTGCGTGTAACAACCCGACAACCCTCCTGGGCATGGGTTACCTTTCAACTTTTTGCTTTTTGTTGTGGATTTGCACGTGGGCGGGTCGTACATACTACAGAATTTTATCTCTGATTATAGTGTGACTAGGAAGCCCGTGGCCGTGGTAACAGGGATGATATGTATCTAGTAGTTTTCTATTTCTTTTGGCAGTCGTTTTTAGCGCTCAAAAACTATCCGTCACAACCAAAGATACAGCCGAGTTAAATGTTGCTTGTCCCTAAACACCAGGTAATATCACAAAAACCGATCAAAATGACGTTAAAACAATCATTGCACGTGCACGTGCGTGTAACCAATCCTCGTTACCATGGTCACTATGCAACCTTCTATTTCTCGTCTGTTTGACGTGGGCGGTTACATACAGAATAATTCTTTGAATTATAGGTAGAGATAATCTAACTACAGGTGTAAATTTGTGTTGACTGAGTTATGTTTTGCCGCGTAAGTTCTGGGTATTCAAAAAAAGTCCCCAAAATGTCAATAAAAAGTAAATTGACTAAATTTACCATTTTTTTCAACAGTGAGAGTAATTCTGGTTCGAACTCTTGTACCTCTCAGAATAGGTTATATTAGTCCCAGAAGTGGTTAAAATTAAATAATTTGCCCAGCAACATTCTGAGTGCTGCAAACCGGTTTTTAGCTGACTTTTTGGCTTGGCGTTTAAGGGGGTGGAGTGAATTTAGGTTTTGGTTTTGAGGTACTTCCTTTAGTGAGTGAATGTTTTCAAGTAGCTTAATGTTTTAATAAGACAAAAACAAATAGTACTAGTGGCAAAAGATAAATCAGGCATCCTGTAAATTTTGTAATTATCACACATATAGAGTTGACATTTTAGGGGTGGTGTTTTAAAACAAACTCCATTTCAACGTCAAAAAAATTGTACTGATTTTATTTTCAAATTTCCAAATCTTCCTGGCAGGCTAGAAAAAGGTTTAAATATTATTCCTAGACACTTCAGAACCCTGTAAATTTAGCCCTAACTCGGCAATCTGGGCCCAAAAAACAGGTGACGCTTTAGGGGGGGGGGGGGGGGGGGGGGGGGGGGGGGGGGGGGGGGGGGGGGGGGGGGGGGGGGGGGGGGGGGGGGGGGGGGGGGGGGGGGGGGGGGGGGGGGGGGGGGGGGGGGGGGGGGGGGGGGGGTGGGGGGGGGGGGGGGGGGGGGGGGGGGGTTTTACCCGTAATGGGTTTTTTGTTTACCATTTACGTGTTTCCAGTTACAAACAATAAGTTTAGCAGAATTGAAATAGTAATAACTGTCACTACATAACTTATTTGCGTGTTCACTTATAATTTAAGGATTAAAAGTCTTTGTATAATTGATGAAATTTAATAGGACTCGTTATGACAATCATTATTCGTAATAACTGATCTTACTATTTGTCTCAAAACAATTCTAAATAATATATGTAACTGTAAGCAAGGTTATACAGTAATCTAAAAAGATATTTCTAACTTCCACTATTTCAGTCCTCGAATATTTCACGTTTTAACACAATTTTCTGTAAGCCATGGTGTTCTGCTGCTTAGAATTACTGTAAACAAAAACGTCCAATCAAAACGCACTTTTCAGCTTTACCAAAATTCCACGCACAGGTTATTCCCTTGCATCGAGCGCTAAAAAAAGCACTTTATCTTAGCATCATCGAAGTTCATCTCGTCCGAGTAGATACTATATGGTCGTACATTGTTATACGCATCCAGCAGTACACGCCACGCAAGAAGTGACAGTCTTTTAAAGACGTAGAACCTGGTCTGGAGTACCAATTTTTAGGGCAGTTTGCACATTCCAGCGGGGAACTCTTGTACTGGTTAGCCGGGCAAGGTCCCTCCTTGCTGAGGCAGGGTTTGAAGGCGGAAGTGGCCCATATGGCACTTACACGTGGTCCATGTGTGTCGTCTTTCAGAAAACACGATCCCCTTCTTAATTCCAGTGTTGTAGTAGACTACTGCGTGACACCTGTGGAAATTTGTATTTAAAGAAATAAACCGGAGATATTTTTTATTTCAAAATTCAAATAAACTTTACATCAATGTATTACAGTTATATTCAATAGAAAAGACCACAATATCTCCTGTGAAGCAAAAACATGGAAAAAGAGAGCTAGAAAAATATCCATGAGACTCAACGCTACCAGACTCAGCTGGAGTGAGAAACAATATGTAAAACATCAAAGTAAAATTTATTTCGGCTGAACCAAAACACGGTGGTAAGACGATAATTACATTGGTGCTTATATTCAATTGTAAATGTTTTTTAATATGAAAATGTATTCCAACATAATGATAGATACAACATAATTAAATGATTAAAGAGAGCGCGTTTATAAATGTCTTTATAATTATATGGAACCTGTGATCAGTTCTGCAGCTATCCTTGCATGCCTGGAAGTTAGGTGTGGTCCACTTAGCTCCGGCGATATCTCCACCATAGACAACCTTTTTGGGGACATTGCAGTCATCTGCGGCCGCCAGAGCAACCAGAGCAGCACAGAATGCAACGAACAACTTCATCTAAAATCAGTTGGGCAATAAATAAATCATAGAATCAATTGACTTGACTTTAAACCCGCCACAACTTACTGTTGTATTGGCTATAAATTGGTTAGTCAATTCATAGATAATTCAGTTTAGTTAAAAATGCGATAAAGGCCACAGGGGGGGGGGGGTCGAGGCTTCAAAAAATGCAAAAACATATTATGCTTTGAATCAATATATATTTTTGTGGTGGATACTTTGCCACTACTCATTTGTCTGTAGCTATTTTACTTTTTTTTATAAATGAGGTTAACCAATTCTTCAAATAACCTCATTTTTTTGATAAATCGATAATGGAGGGCAGAAATATTGATGCCATTACAACTGAAAACTACGATAAGCTTTGTTTTTATTGTTTTTGTGTTATTTCAGCAGTTAAACTTTGAAAAAATATACAAATAAAGGCAAAATACTCAAAAATCACATAACATAAAAAAACAGTTTTTTGCCTCTCCTGAAAACCTCGAATTTTTGACTTCAAAATCTATCTTCTCCTAGAGTTTTCATTTACAATAGAATTACAGGTAAACCTCAAAATTCAACGCGCGATATCTTCAAATAGGAAACTTTGTTTTCGGTAAGGACAAAAGCATTTGAAAATTTAGATCGAGCTCTACAACATATCTCAAAATCTCAAAATCGACCTCGGACCCCCCCCCCCCCCCTGTGGCCTTAAGCGACTAAAGCACCTATAGTTGTAATCTCAAAGATGAAAAAGGGATAACTTACTACTTTAGATAGTTACGATAATAGTACAATAACCAGAACTAAATAAATCTAAGCTTACTAATCTCATCTCAATTAAAGGTACCAGACTAATACTGAGTAACCTTAACATATTCACCATGGCTCTCCGTGATCTAAAATATAATTCCATGTATCCAGGCCGACCAGAACCAAACCATAACAGGTTCTGCTCCAAATCACATCCCCAAAAGAGAGATCAACTGAACTAACCTTTAGGTCAATCTGCCTCATATATATAATGTAATATATTACTGTGTGTGTGGTTTGCATCTCATCTCCCTGCAAACCTATCACGTCCACGATATGCTACACCTTGATCTTTTGTCTTTTCACGTCCCCTTGCTTTCCCCTGCAGTAGCTTTCGTTAATTATGATTCTTTTCGCGTCCTCTTGCGTTTACCCTTTTGTAGCCTTTGTTGAAAAACTCATCACTATTCCAATTACATCTCCACTCTATTTACTCTAGTAGCCGGAAGGTGTCGAGAGTGCACTTGGCTGTGTAAAAATATTGTCCCCTCAAACAAGTTAATTAAGTAAGTAGGTCATTGGTAATGGACCATTACCAATGACCTACTAATGGTACCTCTAGTTCTATACTAATCACTTATGTTTCATATTAGTCGCATAAGTGGGAAATTTATACTTCAGCATCTAAAGGTTTTAGAGCTTGAAGATCGGGCTTAATATGACCACATTATCCATGTTTATTCTAACACTATGAAGATTCTGTTGGGCGTAGGCCCCAATTTCTCACTTTTGAAGGAAAAATGAGATATAATGATTTTCACTGAGGTGCAAAAATACTGGTCATGAGCTAGATCTGCTAGAATCTAGGTGTAGTTGAGTTTGCAATTTGATGTCTACTATTTTTCTCGACATAGGGTCCTTTTAAGACATTAGAAACCAGAGCCGTTAAGTTATGCAACTTCTATTGGTAATCCTGGTCCTAAAGGGCGAAATCATTAAATTGCCCTCAGGCGCACATATGGACACGTTCATAAAAAGGTGGCACTAGAGCTCTACAGATTGATATTTCACTGTCAAAATTGTGTGAAGCATTTTAAAATACTTGTATCTCAAGGAGTATGCTATGAAAGTTAACCAAATTTTAATATGTGGTCCAAAAAGATTCAAATGTCACATAATTAAGTCATTTATCTCTTTATATCTGTTACGGGTAAGCCACCCCCCCCCCCCCCCCATCTTCTTAGAAAGTATCTTACCTAATCATTTGTAACTCCTAAACATAAAAAAATATCATTCAGACCCTGCCACGTCCTGAAATTGAATCTATCATGGAGCGATGTATAATTTATACCATAAATTACACGATGTAAACATTAACTTGAAAACGAAGGAATGCCCCCCCCCCCCTCCCCCGGCCCATGTTCTCAACCTGGTTGTTTGCAGAGCTTGTACTGTTTCAGTCAATGTCACCAGTGAGCGCTCAGTATTATCCTCTAATGTCTCCAGTTTCACTTTCACAGCAACAATGTCTTCGTTCATGTTTGCTTTCGTGTTTTCCATTTCCTGAGTCAATGTTTTTTCAAGCTCTTCCACTTCGGTCTTCACATTGGAGCTGAAAAATAATCATTATTACTTTTTCAAGTCTGAAGTATCATACCTGAGTCCTCTATAAAGCAGTTGATTATGTACTATAAATAGCTTAATAGTTCATTCTCACGTCGGGAATTGCCTAAATAAAAGTTAAGTCTTATCAGTATCATGGAGCGATGTATAATTTATACCATAAATTACACGATGTAAACATTAAATTAAGAATGAAAGAATGCCCCGCCTCCCTCCCCCTGGCCCTCCCCCGATCCATGTTCTCAACCTAGATTCAGTCAATATCTCCAGTGAGTGCTCAGTATTATCCTCTAATGTCTCCAGTTTCAATTTCAAGACAACAACTTCCTCGTTCATGGTTGCTTTCAAGTTTTCCATTTCCCGAGTCAGTGTTGTTTCCAGCTCTTCCACTTTGTTAGACGTTTCTCCTACCCTGAAAGATTCAAAGCATGGCATGAGTGTCTGGAAAACTGCAAATTTTCCCATACACAGCATCTATTTTTTAAGAAGTTTTAAGGGAGTAGCAAGGTATATTAATTATTATAATAATAATTATTATATTATTAATTATTATATAATACGAACACGAAACTTACAAAAGCATGATGTTGACGATCATCTGGGTCTGTTGAGTCACCAAGTTTTGTAAGGACATTGTATTCTGTATAGACGTTATCAAGAGATCTTTTAGATCATCAATTGCTAGTTCTTTTATATCTGATGGTGGTGGCTGAAATGTTGATATTTTGATGTTACTGAGTGGAGTTGGGTTAGAAACATATAAGAGATACGATGATTTAACTTGTAGAAGCTTTCAATAAACATGTGTTAATCGCCGTCAGCTGAATGTGATGGGGTGGACAGATATTTTGATGTTGATTTTCCATTATGCGTATACATATCAACATGTTGTACGAAATAGTGGTCGTTGAGACAGAAAGCTTTAAAGCTAACGAAATAAATACACAGATAAAATCAAATGTAAAATCCGGATTGGAGTATTATTTATGAGTCGCATTGTTGTAATGTATTCTGGGTAAAATTATCTTTATCCCGGTTGTTGCGACAAGTAAAAATGCTCTTATTAGGGAAAGGAGATTACTCGACGTTTCAATGTAACTACATCGTATTCATGATCTAAAAACAAGTGTTAAAAATTCAAAACGTAAAAAACATATATCTGAGGCAAAATTTGTGTACATTAATTTATTTTTAATCAATCAACTTTATCCAAAAATTCGATTCAAAAAAGTCATAACAAAATTCATAATTTTGTATCGAATTTTTGGATAAAGTTGATTGATTAAAAATAAATTAATGTACACAAATTTTGCCTTAGATATATGTTTTTTACGTTTTGAATTTTTAACACTTGTTTTTAGATCATGAATACGATGTAGTTACATTGAAACGTCGAGTAATCTCCTTTCCCTAATAAGAGCATTTTTACTTGTCGCAACAACCGGGATAAAGATAATTTTACCCAGAATACATAAAATCAAATGTTGGGAATTTTACTGTTGATATGAATAAAAATATGTACCATATTTGAGAGGTCTGTTGAAGAGCACGGTGCTTGTAGAAAAGCAATAACAATCAAGATGTGCACGTACTCAAACATACTGATAAACAAGTAATTTAGGGTACTTTTTGAAAATACTCGACAATCAGCTTTGAAGATCTATTAAAAACGTATTTACAAACTTTGTCATGTTTATTGTTTAAAAAACGGCTATAAACGACCCATATATTTGGTCTCTTCAAATTGCAATTTATGTAATTAATTAACCTGAGACTTTATGGCCATAAAGTCTCAGGTTAATTAATGACATAAATTGCAATTTGAAGAGACCAAATTTTGTCGTCCAAGTTCGAACTAAGAACTTCAATGTTCAATTAAATATTTTGTCCTAATTTGGTCATAAACAGCGATAAGAAAGTTTTAAATTCCTTGCAACAATTAACACTTTTACGAACATTATATATATTATCATGATTTATTACAATACTAGTTACTAGTCCAGGGACAAAAGGAAATCGCGCCATGTACGGAATCGCGATTTTTCCCATTATTTGCGACAAATTTTATGTATAATTTAATGTATAGCCTGTTTTTGGCCAAAATAATCGCGAAATCCTTTTGTCCCTTTTGTTACTACCAACATTTCAGGAGGTCTAACAGAGTCCCTGGTGAAAGCGTCGTCCTCAGCTTTTGTAGACTACCTGACGGAGCATGAGGAGGACTTGCAGAGTGTTTGTGATGGTCTGATAAAAGTCCTGGTGTCTGATTATAAAAATGATCGTGTCGTGGTCCCCCTTTTCAAAACGGTACCTTTTTTTCTGAGCTGCTGATTATTTTCTTTTTTTCTTTAAAGATTCGGTCATTTAAAGGGGATGACCCTGATTGTTTTGCGAAACTTGATTTCGAGATAGCTATTTGACAAAATAAGTAAGGCCTGGGACTAAACCTATAGGGGACACGGTCCACGGACTCCGGGCCGGACCAAATCACATTCTCAAAACTAGGGGGGGAGGGGGGCCGGGGGATATGGATGCGACTACCATGCCATTAATGTCAGTATTCGAAATTTCTGCAATACTGACATTGTCATTAAGGCCAGGGAGGGGGAGGTAAACATCAATTTTCCAGTTTTCACATTATTGTGATAGAACTACTGAAGACGAACAAGTAGGAAAAAACCGGCCTTGTTTATCATTACTTATATAACAATAGCAAACAAAATTCGTACAGAGATCATGGTACGATAGACGCAAAGCTACGAAGAGTGGTCTAGGAAATAACAGGGGGAAAGCCGGTATATAAAGAGTTTGGAAGCTAAGGGAGTTGCAGGAAGGTATTTGGCTTTATGCCAGAGCTCAGTTGCAGCATCCTGTATAATCATAAATAAGGCGGCTTCTCCGTTCAGTATTAAATTTACACTAGTTAATATGCCATGAAATAATGAATATATGCATTATTCATAGCGGATTGTAATAAAGTATTCGTCGCAACTTTATTTTTAGATCAAAACGACGAACCGGTAGGTCGGTAGGAGTTTGGAAGCTAAGATAGTTGCAGGAAGGTATTTGGCTTTATGCCAGAGCTCAGTTGCAGCATCCTGTATAATTATAAATAAGACAGCTTCTTCGTCTATTATTAAATTTACACTAGTTAATATACCATGAAATAATGAATATTATATGCATTATTCATAGCAGATTGTAATAAAGTATTCGTCTCAACATTATTTTTAGATCAAAACGCCGAGATTTATTAAATTTTCGTTCTTATTCCTATATATATAACATGCGTATAAGGATGCGGTGAAACTATCGGACTACGATGAATGAGAACTTGTCAAATGCCACCCCATGGCAAAATTAAAATATATTGACTCTGTTACATCGTTTCCTGTTAATCATAAAACTTCCTTGCCTACCGAAGGGTTATTACCCAAAATCTAAGTCTTAAATCAAAATTGAACATTGCAGTATAACATTTTGGGGAGGGGGGTGCGAGGGGCCCGGATCGCTTAATGCTGAAAGTTGCTCACGGAGGGGGTATAAGTGACCAAAAACTTGCTGACATAACTTGTGAACGCTCCCTATTGTTTTAGCAGCTTTCCAACACAAAAAGACATAATTGAAAACAATTTGCCGCACTTTTCGCAAATATTTGCTACAATCGAGCCGCACAACTTTGTAGCACTTATATGTTGCCTCTGACTTATCCCTTTATGTGGCTCAAAGGTGAAAACTTCAAAATAATAAAAATTTAAAAGGGACCATGATATCTTCTTTAAAAACAAAAAAGCTCTAGCCAATAGTCTCCCGCCACATATTTAGTACAGTAAAATTGATTAAATCAAAATAAATGCCCCACACACCATTATCAAAAATTGTTTAAATTATGTTGTGAAACGTAATATTAGTACTTATTTCTAAATTAAACGTAGTACATGTGTCAAGTACACGTATATTTTAACTCCCTCTACGGCCTACACCTTTTCTTACTTTGATCAATGTGCCTTATCAGTACAGATTATACAGCGAAGTCAAATTCAGTCAAATCCTATCAAAAAATGATGTTCTTAGCCGAAGTTATCGCTGGTCAAAGGTCAGCGCTCATAAGTAATTGTATTGCGTAAGCGATTTTCTATTATATTGCGCATAGTGAAAATCAAGTTTATCACACGTATTGAAAATCGAGTCTAAGAATATTTTTTTCTCCAAAAGTTTTGGATCAATCACCCTGAAACTATCAGGATATATTCTGATCATTTAGAAGAGATTGTCTGGGCAGAATTTTGAGATAAGGCCAAAAAACGTTTTTTGTTAGATTTTGAAAATCTTCAACCTCAGCCATAAATAATGTCAATAGCAGACTACAATATGACATTTTTGAGAAAGGCGGCTTTTTTGAGCAGATACTTAACTATTAGTCATATTTCTAGTCATTATTATAAATTCAATCATATTGCCGAAAATACAGTCAAAAATAACCGTGAAGTTTAATTTTGTCAAAAATCATAAAAGTGGAGGAAAGTCACATTTTATGTGGTACACCCTGTACCACACCCTGTATCCCATGTATATGATTTTGCTGTCCGAAATAATTTGGACAAAATAGGGGCATGGCTGCCCCGCGGGCACCGGTGGGCGCCAGGAGTCCGTGACTCCCTCAAAAATTTCCCTCTATAGTTTGTTGCTATCTCGAAATAAAGTTTCTTAACTTATTATATATTTTTTATGGGGGAATTTTACCAGCTTAATATCTGCACTGTTTATGTTAAATTTAAATGTTCTTGTCTCAGCTGTAATAAGAAACCTGTTACTTGTTGCTAGATAATTCTCCTTACTTAGGTGGAGTTAATGCTGACGAATGTGATCCTTGATGATGAGATGGGAAATGGTTTTGTCGCCAAGTTTGTCCACCAAATAAAGTTGGAACTGAAAGGGTGTGGCAGCGTGGGAAAATTACTCGCGACTCTGAGCCCTCTGGCTAATTGCCTCCAGTTTACTGATAACTCGTGTGTTCTCAGTCAGATCATGCTCCTGCTTTGTCATAGGTATTTTATTGTTTTTATTAATGATTCTTGACGTTTTTAAGTGAGTGCCGTATTAAAATTTATCAATTATTCGAACAAATTTACTCGGATATTCGAATTTAGACACTATGGAAATTTTGACAGCACCTTTCACGATTAAAAATACAAATAAATTACTGAGCACCCAGTCTGAAGATCCCGTTCATTTCCCGGATCCCTCAACTCTCTGGTTCCCATTATAGGTACCCGCGAGTAAGAAAAGGGATGGCGGATGCGTTCTACACTGCACTGGTAACATTTGATGATGTCATTTCAAATACGGAAGAAATTTCCCAGATTCTCGAAGAAACCGTTTGGGAAGATCCAAACGTAAGTATCCCATCTCGTGGGTCTGTAATATAAAGAACTACATAATATTATATCGTTAAAACTTATATTATTATATTATTATTACGGAAACATCCGGAATGTTAGATATTTGACCTGACTATATAAATTCAAACAAACGTATCCAGGATATAGACGAGTTGAGAGCTAAACGGAACAAGATTTGCGATCTGGTTGGAGTGTCTCAGCCCAAACTTCTGAAATCTAGCAAAGCAAAGCCTAAAGCTTCGACCGTCGAGCAGTTCGATAGTTACAGTGATTTGGTGGGAAGGGCTGGATATTGAGCTTGTTTAAACGATTTACCTTTAGGATAATTAAACTAGTTATTTACTAATTAATCAATTGGTAACTCACTGTGAAGTGTGTAAGATGTCTTGTACATAGTTTCGTAATTCTTTTGAAATTCTTTGGTTGCACTCGCTGGCAAGGTTCTTCCAAATTTTAATTTTGTGACCAACAATCCATATAATCAGTGATACCAAATCAATTAGTTATCGGAATTATTTTCGGGTGAACATAGTAATTTAATGTTGATATATTACTCAATTACTGTCATATAACTCATATTATTATTATCATAGTATTTACATAATTTAAGTAACATCTTTGATTTTTCAAGGTCTGAGAAGAAATGAGAAAAAAAACTTTTTTATTTGATTATTGATGTTAAATTTGTATGTGTTTAAATAAGTATATTATTATTGTAGTGTTTTCTATTCGTTACTTTGTTGTTAATATTATTTTTAGTCAAAAGAACAAGGATTTTCATATAAATATGTACAGTTTGAAATCGTAATTTCTCTTTTTTACTGTTTACTTATCAGAACAAATTAAAATGACAAACTAAAGAGCTCTCTTCCAAACGTTGTTCAAATACTAGTATTTGTTTAATTTGTTTGATTACTGAGGACGAAATGATAGTCTCCACCTACTATAAAAAAGTTATATTTTTCACTATAAAACTACAATTCCTACTATTCGTTTCATTTTTGGGTGCGGCCTCTAATTAATATTATAAGCCGCACATTATCCAACTTATTCAACATCACAGCAATGTTAAGAAATGCCTCAAACTTGTCTTACGACATACCTGACAATATCAAAGATGAACAGATCCGAGAAATAAACAAACTAGACAACAAAACAGGATCAGATCTTGTGGAATATCTTCATCAGAACGAAATCGGCAAGGATCAGAGTTTTCGTGGTCCCTTTGGCGGAAGAAAAATAGGTTAGCGAACGGAACTTCTAACTTTATCATTTATTATATTATATTGTATACCTTGTGGGATTGTCGGTACATAATATAAATATACCCATAAAATACCCATCCCCAAACGTCTGGAACTACAATATTATTATAATCTTGATAAACTTCCATCAATATTTAATGTAGATGAGGGCAAAGTTCGTGATGGCCCACTATCAAACCACGTTTCATATAACTTCTTCCTCAGTTTATTGCGATTGGAGTGCCTCTGGTAGAGGGTTGAAGTTTATAAACGACTATATTAATGAGGTGATTTATATAATATAGATTATTTATTCTTTAATGTAGATTAACTTTATTTTTATATATTTTACTAAGTGTGAAGGATCAACCATATACGTTATTGATATTGTTGAAATATTTAATGATAAATTGATATAATAATAAATGATTGTAATATTTTTATTGAGGCACATGGTGGTTTACTACTACTACTTACTACTAGGAAGTGTTGCCGTGGTATGCCAATACACATTCCATGGCCAATACCACCGCCACCCAGATCAGCATGTTTCGAGAGGAGGCTCGCCAGATTGTAAGGTGAATTTGTTTTTTGAAAATATGTGCATAATGATTAATGATCTTTAAATCTGCATGATCCGCATAATCTCATCTGCTACCAGCATATTGATATCTGCTTTTTGTGATAATCATGTTTAAAGTTTTTGAAAGATCATCTTATTTGAAATTCAATTTTCCTTTTTTTACAATAAACTAACTAGTATGACACACAACCAAACTCAAATATACCCTATAATTAATCAGGCACACAGTAAACGCTAACTCCGACAAAGACAGTGTAATATTCCATGGAAACGGCACAACAGGCGTAGTCTCCCTCCTCAGGCACATCATAGACGCGGAGAACTCCATATTCATTGTAGGAGAGGAAACCCACCATTCACTTTACACTCCGTGGAGGGACATTACTAAGAATGTGCTCCTGTTAGCTGATACCCCAGATAAGGGCGAGCAGCTGGAGCAGATCCTGGTGCAGATCCGAGCTGTGGATCCGGAGGTAGTGGTGTTTGGGTGCTTTGCTGGGGTTAGCAATGTTACCGGGGCTGTGTATGAGGTAGATAAACTCGCTCAGATCCTGCACGTCCACAATGCGCATATCATCGTGGACTATGCTAGTGGTGCACCGTACATTGAAATGAACATGAACCCGGTGATAAAAGGAGCGTATAAAGACGTTATTGTTTTCTCTCCTCATAAGTTCCTGGGCGGAGTTGAAACTCCGGGAGTGCTGGTAATTAAGAAGAACCTCTTTAGAAACTCCACGCCCTTTGTGAGTGGCGGAGGAACTGTGTTTTATGTAAAAGAGGACGAGACGAGGTATTTTAAAGCTCCAGAGCTTCGGGAGGAAGGGGGGACTCCTAATATAATAGGCTCAATCAGGGCAGCTCTGGCTTGCTATGTTAAACTTAATGTTGGGGTTCAAACTATCATGTCTATCAACCAGAACATCGTGGACAAGGTTAGGGCAGGATTTAGTGACACTCCTAATCTTATACTTTTAGACGATCTTGAATACACTAAAATCCCGCTGTTTTCTTTTCTTATTCAGCACGACGGACTATACCTTCATCACAATTACGTGGTCACCTTGCTGAACGATTTGTTTGGCATTCAAACTCGAGGTGGCTGCTTGTGTGCGGGGCCATATGTTCAACGGCTCCTGGGGCTCGACACAAACCTTAACAATGCATACCTTAAACTCTTATCCGAAGACCCCAATTTGGATCGCCACCATTTGCGGCGAACCAAAGAGTACAGCTCACATGAAATCTTCAGACCGGGCGTTGCCAGACTGTCTATCAGCTACACTACTCCTAGTGAGGTTGTAGAGTTTGTGGTCCGTGCTGTTCGGCTGGTGGCGGAGCAGGGGTGGAAGCTTCTACCCTTTTATAGGTGTAACCATGAGACGGGTGAGTGGCACCATCTCAACAACCTGCAGTTCAACAACAGACGGTGGTTATCTCATCTTAAACTTGACAGTGGTGGTGTGAGGACTAAATCGTTTCCTGTTGAATCCTATCTTGACATGGAGGAATGTCTAAAGAAAGCTGAAGAGGTGTTTAAAGGTATCACCAGATACAGTAATGTCCAAGGATCAAGTGCAGTTTTTCAGGATGCCAATGATTTGAGATGGTTTCTGTTGCCTGCCGATGTTGTTAATAAGGTCAATGCGTCACAACCGATTCTAACTAAAGCACCCTTTATTCCTAGTATGAAGAATAAAACGGACTCAGATGATACTATTGCCTTCAGGAAAAGAACATTAGACCAAATACTATATCATTGCAAATCTTCAGTAGAACAAAAACCGCTTTCCATAGCTCCAAGGAAGACGTCACAACCAGGAGCCGCCCCTTTTTCTCTCATACATTACAGTCTTACATTCCTTAATTCTCTCGTCTCATTTCCTTTCAACATCCTCTTTTATGGATTAACCTTCTTCAGTCGTCACCATTTGAACAAAACACCAGCTATCGAGTCCACTGAAGATATCTTGTCTGTCTCTTCAAGTTTGCATAACAAAACTTCTGATCATACGATACTTGAGGTAGATTCTAAGAACGGCACTCAAGCTGAATCCGTTGTATTCAATGCTCCCTCCCCTGCTAATGATAACGGGACAGCTAAATGTCCTGTCATTTCCTCCAAACCAAAAGGTTTGAATAAACAACTTTATAATCATGATTGTTTTTTTTATCAATTGAAAATTAGTGTAATTATATCCAAGACTAAAGCTGGTAATTGTAATGCGAAATATCACTGAAGCTTTATTTTCAGTTCGGTTAAAATCAAAATAACCAGTTTCTAAACCCGAAGTTATTTAAGTAATTGTATCAATTTAGATCCAGTGATAGCAAAGTGGCACGCCCCCACCAAGAACATCCTGAAACCCATGATGAAAGCCATCGAGGAGTACCAGATGATATTAAATGGTGATAAAGTGCTGTTGTGTTTGTCGGGGGGCAAGGATTCACTTTCCTTACTTCACGCCCTTAGACAGTTCCAGTTCATTGCCAAAAAGAAAGGTATGATAAGAAAAGAATTGATAACTTTTTGATACCAAAAAGAAAGGTATGAGAAGAAAAGAATTGATAACTTTTTGGTACCAAATGTTAATTTCTTCGATCCTGGTTTATCTGATAAAAATTCAGATCGGTAAGTGACTAAGTATTTTTTAAACAGAATAGAATAACCATGTCAGTAATACCATTATTAAATTATCTGCTCCGCCAACCAGGTGTAGTATTTGAGCTTGGAGCTGTAACAGTAGATCCCATGACACCAACATTCAACCCCGCCCCGCTGATTCCTTACCTAAAGGAACTCGGTGTACCGTATCTGTTCGAGAGGCAGGGTATTTTGAAACAAGCTGAGGAAATGGAGGAGGTTTCTAGTATCTGCAGGTTAGTTAGTTACCACTAACATTCGTATAATTTTTAAAACCTTTCGTTTTTAAATGATAAAATCGAGCTATATTATTATGGTACATGAAAAACCTGATTCTCTGATTGGATAAGGAGAAGGTGAAGACTTCAACTCTTCTTAAGTCAGCTCCTTATTTTTCAGTACGTTTAATTTACAGTATTTTTAGTTTCATTGCACATTCCAGTAACATGATAATTATAATTATATATTTCAGTTTGTGCAGTAGAATGAAGCGAGGTCGGATATACGCAGCTGCCCGGGCACATGGATACAACGTGATAGCAATGGGACAACACCTGGACGATCTTTGCGAGAGCTTCTTCATGTCCATATTTCACAACGGGCTACTCAGGTGCGGCTCTTATTCAACTATATATAAAGCGAGACGATATATATATAATATATATGGATCCGTGCCATTTTACTGACACCACGGCATCAACTTTAACGCAACTTTCCGCAAAAACCGTAAAAGATATACAACTGAAACTTTTTTGACTGGGTCAAATGCTTTAATGGCCTTCAAATCAGCATGAAAAAATAAAAATTGGCCAAGGAATAATAATTTTAGTGCCCAAAATTTGGACTCCCAAGTTGTGTCAAAAACGCGAATTAAATACTATTTAGGTAATAATTATTTTAGTCTCTCGAGTCTTGACACCACTTTAGGGTTAGACGGGTTTCCTTCATGTCCATATTTCACAACGGACTACTCAGGTGCGAATATTATTTAACTATCTAAGACACTAACTAAGATCCGATTACAGTGTAAGAATGTTTAGTATGAATGTTTAATGAGGGTGTCAAGTTCTTGTTTCTCGGTTTACAATTTTGGGGTGAATGAGTTTTGCCATAAATATTACTGTTTTATCCTGGATGTAAATATTTTACAATATTTAAGTGCTGTTATAAACCAGTGGCTAAAAGTGAGGAATTTCAGAATATAATTCCTAGTCATAATATTTCCATAGCCACCGAATGATTTTTGTCAAAAAATATTTAAATTAAATTAAAATTAGTCGCTCTCAGGGGTTCTTAAGACGTTCGAATCGAGCGCATTACATATGTGAGATCTAGCTAGATTCTTGTTGATTCCTGGGACAAAAAATGCGCGACAGATATTCCTGGTAATTCTTCATTCTCAAGAATCTACAGGGATCTAAGACTGCTTTTCTAGTCCACTACTTTTTCTAGTCGAGCAATTAGCAGGAACGTGCAAACAAGTCCCATGCGATTATAAATATATAAATATTACTTTACTACACGTCATGGTCTAGTAGCTTAGTAGCTTAGTAGCTTAGTAGCTTAGTAGCTTAGTAGTCGGTTCTAGCTCTAATTCTGCTGCTCTTCACTTCTGAGCCTGCTGACGACAATTTTATTTCCACATTTTTGGCAGTTATGAATAACTAATAATACCTCGGTAATATAATCAGCAAAGATGCACGATACAGTATGGTATGGAATTGAGGGTGAAACATAATGAAATCTCAAATCATCAAATCGTATTATCGTATAGTCGTTTTTAAAATATATATCTAGTCTTTGTTTTTCTTTCCAGACCGGATTCCCAGTCACTTTTTAAATTTATGCCACTGTGACCATAACCTGTAACCCCACCAGGACAATGAAAGCAAACTACACAGTAACAGAAGGAGACCTGCGTGTCATACGTCCCCTGGTTTACGTCAGAGAACGGGATCTGCGCACCTTCGCGGAGACCAAACATCTGCCCGTGATCGCGGAGAACTGTCCGGCGTGTTTCGAGGAACCTAAGGAGCGCCACCGGGTTAAGCAGCTTCTGGCACAGCAGGTATTAAGCACGGAGATTGCACACAACCTTTCAATGTTCTTTGATTAAGTAAATAAAGTTTGTTATGATTGTACCGTTTACATCATGATTCATGGTTATTGCGCAATTATGTCGTTTTAATTTTCTAAATGGTAAGTAAGACGATAATATGACATTTGAGACGATTTGGATGTTGAAGTCAATTTGTTTCAGGAGCTCCTGTTTCCAAATCTGGCTAACAGTTTACAGCGAGCCATGAAACCTCTTTATTCGAAACACAAGGTTGGTATGGAATCAAGACCCATCACGATGAATGGAACGATCCCAGAACAAAATGGTCATGATAATAAAGAATGCATTGAGATTGATTTATCTGGTAATGTTGATGGTACAGGTGATGATTTGATGTTTCCCGATGGGTGCTGAAGTTATTTTTAAGTTAGGAAATTTATCGGCGTGAAATGATTTCAGATTCACACTTTGAAAGACCCTTTTTAATGTTTTTTTAACCGTATTTTAGCTTTTTATGGGGTGGGGTTAGAGTTATTTTAACTATATAACTTATTGTTATAACTTATTGGATTTGTTAAATTATTGCCGTGACCTTTGTGTATATTAATTTATTCATTCCGAGTATTCCTCCAAAAAATTAAACGAAATGTGTTATTATACAGAAACAGGCAGAAACCTATCTCACTTTCAAGCTTCATAGGGTGTTGAGCTTGATCATCATGTAGACTTTGGCGCATCATTCTTTGAATAATGATGTCCTTATCTATTCTTCATACTAATTTGAACCACTAACAATCCTGTCCCTCATTTTAGAGTTAGAAGTATGTTTTGTTACACTACCTTACCCTCAACTCTTACTCGATGTTCTCGCTGCACCAAACCTGTATCACTCTTATACCACCATCGCAATTCCTCCAACCAACTGTCAAGAACTCTACAATCTCCTGTAAATATCTCCCAGTATCCTCACAGAACTATTGTTCAGCAGTCATCTAGAACATTCCATACATCCCATACATTACAGCTGAGTGAAACTCCTCGAGATCCCTTCGATCCGATCGTAGCTGATGACAACGTCGTGGGCCTAGTCCACCCTGAAATGATGAACAGAATGAAAACACGGTATCCCATGATGTGGCTACTTAATGCTTCAATGACAGGAACTGGGTTACTATGCTTTACCAGCTCTAACGGTATGGTGCCGTCTTTGGGGTTTGTTCTCATATTTTCCTCACTACTTTTTACCGCAACTATGTGGTACAACGCCAGGTGTATTGGTAAGATATCCCTGAATCAGGACACAACTGCTACCTTATCTCATCTCAATATGTTTGGCAGGCGCGTGGATAAAACTGTTCCTCTTTCATCACTTCAGTTAATGACAAAGCTAGATCACAAACAGTGGATTGATGGTAAATTGTACTATATCAATTGGGATCAGTTTAAAGCTAATGATAGGTTGTGGGAGAATGCTATCCCTGCTCAGAAACCCCATGTTCTTATTCCTGAGAATGTTTACAGAAATAAAAAGTGAGGATCATAGATCGGATATGAATCATGGGTATGCAACGACCATTAATGTCAGTAGATGGAATTTTGTCTAAACTGACATTGTCATTAATGGTCATTAATGGTCATTAATGGTCATTAAATAATTGAAATTCTGAACTATCTTGGAAGCAACATGTCCAAGAAATTTACAATTATGATCACTTTGTATCACTTCTATAAAGTTTCTCACAGCCCCCTACATCGATTGCCAGAGTCTCGTTTGAGAAAACGAATTAATATTCGCCTAATAGAGGCTCGGACCTCGGTTTCGGAATGAGTGCCAAGCACCATTCTGTTATACGTTGGTAACTTGTCTTGTCTGTTTGCTTGTTTGCATTTGACTTAGTATAAAATAAAATGCTTGTTTGCAGTTGACTTAGTATAAATGCTTGTTTACAGTTGACTTAGTATAAATGCTTGTTTGCAGTTGACTTAGTATACATGCTTGTTTGCAGTTTGCGTGGATTTGAATTGTATTGATTTCCTTTATTTGTGTTGATTGCTTTTGATAATTTGGATTTTCAATACCTCCTCACAGTACCTTCTATGCCATCGTAAGACGATATTTGGAAATAAAAGTCGGAGATCGAAATTTTTTGGTACCGGCTGTTTCGAGGGTTCTGTGCCATATCAACCGGGCTGCAAAAATTCTTCTAAGCCCTGTCAACGTCGAACAATTCGAAAGGGCGACTCATTAAGTGCTACCTTTGTTCCAAAAAATGCTAAACGTCCCCTTCGTTGCCTCGGTACCATCTTATCAATGAGTGTCTCTTCTTCAAAAAAGGGCAACTTCAGATCTAGACGAATTCCTGCCGCATCAATTTGTCCCTATCATGATGACAGTGCTCGATTTTGGGTCAAAACTTTAAACTGCCAAAGGCAGAGTATTGAACTGTAAACGAATTGTTCTATCTAATCCTAGGAAAAGATCAGCTTTTTTGTTGTCCGATTCAGACTGATGACGATGTATTTCATGAAGTGCTAAAGTTGAATAAGTTCATCTACTGTGTAATTACTATATAATCGACTAGCATAATGATTTGGCTAAAATATAAATCTTGATATGATATAAGAACGGGAACGAAGTATTTAATTTTAATACCCGTGTTATTATTATTTTATTATTGATTGTTATTTTACTATTGATACGATCTGATACTCCTAAATTGCCCTTTGAATTATTATTATTGATAACTATTATAAGTCACCAACTGTTATCTGGTTTAAATCCCGTGGCCGCAAAATTTGTTCTTCATTACATTCGAACTTAATAAATGTAATCCCTAACTCACTCTAGAATCCACTCAAGTGATATTCTGGAAGGTCTGCCTAACCACGGAAGATTCTATTCTAAGTTTTCTCTTTCGAATCTCTAATTGTAAATGTAAAATAATAACATATACTTGTAGTTAGTTAACTTACGGTAGGGTCTAAGTGATGCAGGCGTCCGTCCTTTTCGCTCTAAGAAGTGCCGGAAAAAACATGACCATTAATGTCAGTAGATGAAATTTTGACAAAACTGACATTGTCATTAATGGTCATTAATGGTCATTAATGGTCATTAATGGTCGTTGCATACCCCCCGGTCATATGATGTTCAGTTTTGTTTCTGTTGAAAAATTGAAGACCATTTGTATCACTCGTTCATAATGTTCTCTTGTACAATGTTTATTGAGGTAACGATTCTAATATCATGTTTTACTTTTGACGTGCCTTATCTGAATCACCATTTTTCTTTTCATTTCTGATTTTAATTCATTTGGGCTATGTTTTGCATGTTAATCTTGGCTTCACTTAGTAATTTGTACGATATTCGTTGTGTATTTTTAATTCTGTATAACACTGTTTTAAAAGAGTTTTGATCTATAATCTAAGTATTACTGATTTAAACCCTCATCTAGCAAGTAAACAGAGTATCAAAATGTCGTTGAACGGCATGGACGAGAGTCACATGTCCGATATGGGGGCAACAAGAGCTAACAAGTTTAATGGAGTGCCGTGTGACGCAAGCCAGGAAACCTCTGTTCGCTGTGTTCCTCTCCGTGAACGCTACTACAAGTGCGCATGTAGGTCCTACTTTCACTTTCACTTTCACTCTTCTTTTATGACTTATTTTCAATTGAGAGTACAATCCATCTCGTTTTTTGAGATGTTTCATGATTTGTTGAGTTTATAATATTTATATAATTTCAGTGAACACGCACCTTGATAAAGTACGGGACAGTTGTCAGTTCTGGTGGGATGATTATAAGGAGTGTATATTCCAGAAGAAGATCGTAAGTTTTTACCAATTCTAGTGAAAGTCACGTGAAAGTCAAGTAATTTGTGATCTATCTAGGTCATGGAAGAAAAAAAACTGTTCAAAACAATAATTGTTCTTAACAATCCTATCAAGGTTTGTTTTAAAAATCAAGACTTGGAATAGCAAACAACAATTGTGCATGCTAATTAAAAGATGGTTAACTTTTCAGCAAAAGAAGATGGAAGCCGTTGAAGAACTGAAAGAGGCTCGTTTAAAAGAGGTCGGTTTCAAACGACCGTTTTGGGGCGGGCACACTGCGCCCGTCTTTATCACAACATACACTAAAGCCTGGGAAGTAGGCCGACCTGTTCCCGCTGAGCACGAAATTGGAGAAAAAGTCGATCTTAGTTTGTAGTTTACCAGTTTAAACTTAATAATGAAGACAATATTATATGAGTGAAGAGATTGATCAATCTTGTTTGGAAAGTTGGAATAATTTATTAAAGGCTCTGCTATTCTGTTGGCCTGAATTGTCATAACGGGTTTTTGGTAAGAACTTAGAATCAATACAGACACTTAATTGGAATATATAAAGATTGCATTTGTATTATGATCGTATCAAAGATTTTGTAAAGTAAATTTGAAACGAGATGCATACTCACTTGTTAGGTGCATTTAATACATTTTTCTTTATCGACTTGAACCAATAAATGGTGATGTGTGCTGTGTCCTTTTTACTTTATCGATATTTTGATCTTGTTCTTGTAGGGTAATTTTTCATTTTCTGTAGCAAGTTTTGACACAATGGGCAGAGGCCGAGGACGACCAAAGTACAAAGGACACAGCAGACATTTCACAAGCCGAGAGGAATTGGAGGAAGATAGGAAGAAGGACGAAGAAAAAGCGAGGAAGGTTACAGGACTTTTTAATTCATATTTAGTAGTATTCGTTGTAATTCATCCTTCGTATACCATGCCGTTGATAATGGGTAATTTATCTTTGCTATTTTTCAGAGATTATTGTTATTAAATTTCAAATTGCCATTAAATTATTTGATAATAAGCTCCTTTCAGAGAGCAGAACGCGGGTACGATTCACCTTCTGATGAGTCGTCATCTGAAGAATCAGAAGTAAGTTTGAAGTTTCATCTATTGCTGAATGCTGATGTAATGTGCATGTCGGATTTATGCAGGGATCTCCATTCTCCGATCTAGTGAGATTTATTATATTCGGTAACATGTTGCCAAAATCGGTCACACAAACGAATGCTCTTATGAAAACCTTTTCGGTTAGTACGTGTTCATTGACTTGTCGGCGCATGTGTGACGCGCAATCAAGTCTAACTGCGCGCGTAATGATTGATCTAGCAAATAAATTGCTGTATTATAATTCTTGATTATGAAATCATAATACGTATTATAATTCGGAGATTCCTTTTTTCCTTGGGGGTCGTTCGTATATTACGTAATCAGGGGTTGGGACTCGATTACGATATATTTTGTAGTTATTAAGTTGTGTTCAGTGCATGTTACAATTTACATTTTCATCGGCTTTATCTTCGGTCGGGATGGATATTTTATGATTCAATAATAATGAACTATCAAGAAATTCCATTAGCTTCCTCCCTGTGACCACAGGCTCTCTAGTCTCTAGTTACTCTATAATTTCAACTCAAAATTAACTGATTCGAGTTTAAAGTGAATCTACTTGGAGCTACCTTAGTTCCCAAAAATTTGTGTGCCATTATATTGAGCACAATTTATTTGAGCCCGAAAAATTTGGGCAGAAAATTTGAACTCATTTGGGCGACCGAAAATTTGGGCACAAATTCTTCGAAAAATGAACGATTTTCCACTAAAATTTCAGTTAGATATTTGCCTTAGTTCATTATTATTCCTTATTATTCCAGTCATTTGCTAGCTATTCCAGTTATTTCTATTCATTTAAAATATAAGCCTTTTTACTTGGTCAAGCCATGAATGACAGATTAGAAAACTAAAATTTCAAATATTATTTCACTTGGATATGAAGAAAAAGCCATCTTTCTATAGATTTCAGGGCCACAGGCCAAATGCCAAAAGTTTGGTTAGCAAAAAATTTAGCAGACGGAAAAGATTTATGCAATTAATTTGGTCTGCAAAAAATTTGGGCGAGAGGCCCGCTCAAATTTTTTGTTGCCCAAATTTTTGGGAATTAAGGTATCACAGTATCAGTTGGCGAGTTGAAACCAAAAAATGTTGTTTTCCTTAATTGATTCAAAAGACCTGTTTTATACCCATTTAATCGTCGCTTATGCGTAAACTTAAGGATTAACAATTCACAGGAAGAATCGAGGAGGGAAGTCGAAAAGGATCGAAAGGCTAAGGGTGTGGAGGAATGATAGAATCCAAAACCCTATTCATGTTCGTAATCGGCAAGTTAAAACCGAAAAAGTTTGACGAAGAATCCTCACAGTTTAACCAACGACAAAAGTAACATTACACTCCTTTTTGCTAGTCGATTTTACGCATTTCTTTGTTGACATTATGCGATTTGATAAGATTGTGTGGCTTAATATAGTTCCAGAGGCATTTCAGTTCGAGTTCCGAATCTCATGGATAAACCACATTCTGTTTGCAGGAAGAGTTAGCAAACAAAACTATCAACTCCTACAATTGGAATTGCAAGACGACCAGCCCATAAGGACTTTGGCCCGTTTAGCCAGAATCCGTAAGAAGCGAAAGAGAGGCTGCCGGTGAGAGCACACTGCGGATCCGCCCGCCAAGGTATTCAAGCTATCCAATAAATTATAAAAATCAAATCAATGAAATGTATTATCCACCAAGAAAGAGTATGAAGTGAACAGACAGTAGCCTGTTTGAATTTTTGGCTTGATAGAAATATCGGAAAACAGAGTTGATAAATTTGTCTAAATTTCTAGTTTGCTTATATTAAAGGTCCTTGTAAATTGAAAACAGGAATTCGTCGGGGAAGTAATTTTAAGAATTTAATAAAAATGTTAGTAATGTCACGTGATCCGAATCGGCATATCTCAACCCGCCACCATACTCACCCTTTATCGAACATCTTAATACCCGATGTTTTTTCTATTCCGTGGGCCCTTTTTCCGCACAAACTTTATCCATTTTTTTTAAAAGTTTCTTAAATTGCTTCAATTAGTAGAGATGACAAGATAATACTGGCCTATTTTCCAAAGACTGCTGCATCTTTTACGAATGTATTTCTTTTTGAGAATATTCAGGAAAAACCGCTGATTCGCATTATCATGCTAGAGTTCGAGATTTTAATTTAGGTCCCCCAAACCTTCACATTGTCTTTAGTATTTAAAGATTTAATGTCGAGATGCCCGCAAATGTATTCTTGTAATATATTTTAATGTCAAAATGCGGACTTTTCATTATATTCCCAAGAAGGTGATTAAGATTTGTTTTCCTTCGTACCAACTCAAATACACGAATATAACATCTGAACATAAAAAGTAACTATAAACCAACAAATTATTCATTCATAAACATTTGGTTTATGGATCGTTTCAAATACAACAGAGCCGGTAGGGGTCTCTAAACGATTTGCGCAAGTGAAATTTATGTGTAAAACTGATTGCGGAGGAGAGGTTCAAAATCGGCCAAAAAAAGCGATCCTTGTGTGATATGTGAGCGATCCTTAATGGTAATACTGGTAAAATATTCATAGCTACGCAAACAGTTTAACTATGTCACCATGGAACAGAAACTATGGCGGAAATCAAAACAAATCCCTGAAACTCATGATCATTAGAATTTGGGTTTTGCATTCCCGGGATGGGTGACCAGCTTCAACAACTCCCCCCTTCCCCCCTTTCAAGACTTTAAAGTCTTTGCATTCTGTCTTGATACATCATCTAGTGTCAGTTTCCAAATTAAGAGTTGTAAATGTGTCTCGAACCCGTCTGAGTCACTGGCTGCATCGTCGCTGTGTTTACCTCAGTCATATTCAGCTGAAAGGGAAGAGTTTCAATATTATATTACAAAGCACGCCGTATCGTGAAAGAGTAAATGGTAACACTGAAAGATTCACCCTTCCCGAAACCATTATCAGCAACAGGTGAAGTTGTGATTCAACCATGCGTAACGTTGCCATGTTGACCCCCACCACGATTAAAGGCCGAAAAACGCGCGAATAATCTGACGCAAGACAGTAAAGCGCGCATGTAAACTCCGAAATGCGCGTCTTGCGCAAATTTTCAATTTAATTTCCATCACTAACCAATACAAGCCGGGTAACGCTGTATACTGATTATCACTGGACAGCCTTACGAAACACTGCCTGTAAAGGATCCCGTGACACGTTCCAAACGTAAATAGTTCATATACCATGTAGTTTTCGAGATTGTCGATTGGGGTCCTCCGGCGGGGTCATGTGGAATGGGCGAGTTGCAAACCATTTCAAACAGTGCGCCACTTCCCGCCGCTATTGTCTGCTTGGATTTAATGTGTTATTCGGGAAAATCCTGGTGTATAATGCAATTTAGCCCGCGCCCAAGAATAAAGTTGACTTTTATTTGTTGCAAATCCAAACAGTGGTTCGTCCGTGATGAGGTTCAAAGTTTTCAATCAACTGAACGTTGCTGACAATTTTCAGAAAACTAACAAAAACCTCCGGAGTTGCTGCAAAGGACGTCGAACGATTACCTCAGTTTTGCAGTAGAAGGCCACAGCAATACTGGGTCCTACTGTCCCACGGTAACAAGTCAACTTAGTCCCGTGTGGTAGGTTCTCATCCGGTAAACTGAAGGAGATAATGGGGTTGAAGACAGTGGCGTATCGACCGCCCCCGCTACCCTGCTAGCAGGGGGGAGGCACCTTCGGGGGGCGGACATTTCCCTGATTGTAGGTCTGATTTCACTGAAAAAGCGCCGTATTGGTGGACTGCCCTGTCGAATTTTCCGGCTCCGGGTAGGGCGCAATTGCAATCAGCAGGGGCGGCCACAAAGTAACGTTACACCACTGTTTAAGAGGCAAACAAACTCGTGTTAAATACAAACGGTAATAACGGTATGGGAAATCGGGCAAGATCAGAATTCCCGAAATCATCAAAGAATCTAGAGCTATTAGGAAATCCTAAGTTAATTTGATTCACTCTTACTTCTCAAGGACGATGACTCAGGGCTAAGAGATTCTTGTGTGACATGTGGGTCGAAGATAGAGTAAATTTGTCGTTCTGACATCCTAGAAATAAAATGCGCGAGTTTTGGTCGCCCTCCCACTGCTCCCACACTTGCTCAATCCAAAACTGTGCTGAATTTTTGTGAGTAAGAAAATCAAATGTTGATGTGCTTACATAGAACAAACCAATGTTGTGATCACATCAAATTATGTCATACCCTAAACATATCAAGATCGTATTGGGTATGATTCAATATGTACACTAAAGCCTTAAATGTCTCATGTAGAGATTATTACATTCGCTAGCCCTATCTTGAGAGGGTATAACCATAAGAGAGGCGCCATTCACTTCCTACAGTAAACTCGGAAAAGTGTTTAATATTAAAGAGAAGAGGTAAACAGTAAGAAGTCTTCCAGTTCACTCCTTACAGTAGAACTCGAAAAGTTTGAATATTAAGATGAGATGTATAACCATTAAGAAGGCGTCCAGTTCACTTCCTTACATAGAACCTGAAAAGTTTTAAATATTAAGATGAG